TGATGACTTGATCTTAGGTGATATCTGTTACTGGAGGAAGGCCGACTGCTGTTTGCTAGTAAGCGATTTCAACGCACCATATATCAACTGGATAGAGTTCAGAGCTTCAGGCGAATGATTAACATCAACCTGTTATCAACCATTATTCGGCGTGCACCTGTACAATGCATCACAAAAGCGACATATGTTGATTTGAAACATGAACCGTCATTGCCGTACCTAGTCTTTACTTGCCACTAATACAACGTCATCGACATTCAGCACCTTCCCACACTAGCAAATAATGATCATCTTGTACTTTGGTTTTTGGACACATGGTATACAGTATGTATCTGCTCCATCATGTCCTGATACCTGGCAAGCTAATATCCCGGTAACTAGAGACTTGCAGCCTCTACAGGCTTGTCGGTCAGTGCAGTTGGACCTATTAAAGACGAATGGAATAAGATTAACCCTACATTTGATTCGATAAGATAACCCTATATCCCATGGCCAACACGAAGGCATTAGCATTGCCCTTCATGGAATAACAAGGAAAACCGGAAGCTGTTGAGGCGTGAAAACGCTCCTGTGACTTATCATTGTCAACTAGATACGAGCCATTCAAGTATGATTTCCAGAAAATACGAACTACATCAAAAAAGACCATTGCTAGATGCTTCTCTACTTTCGAAAGGCAGTTGGCACATGATAGCCATATCTACCCAAATCGATTATTTTCGTACAACAAACGAAGAGCAAAACGTAGCAATGGCAACTCTTGATTACTGTTGCATGAAAATTAAGATATACTAGCTGAAGCCTACTATTAAGATTAATGCTGTAGAAGAGTATTTTTAAATTGCAATTTATAATATAATCAGGCAGCTGGTATTCGTTAACGCTACAAACTCATGCTATTTCGGAATCATCTTAAACAATAATACCTGTTTCTCACTGGATAATCCTAAATCAACACTATAACTAGTTAAACATAATGGTTCTACGATATCGTCATAAGGCATTGTCCGGACTTGACAATCACGTAATATGTTTGATAAAATTGGTGGAACAATTAACAAAATCGGCCAACAAATTAACTTGCAATTATCACTAAATAGTGTTGTTTTCTCGTTGTCTCCATCCATCACAGATGATTTCTATATGTTTCTCTCTCGGTTGTTCATTCGGTAAATATCCTAAAAATTTGTCCGTCTAATTAGAGGTTTAGCGACACAATCATGCATGGAAATCATCAGTGTCAGCAGTCGAGCGAACCTCTTGCAAACTGAAAACACTGTCGAGTTTACCTCAATACTGACTAGGGTTCATGCCATTATCGTGGACATGAGTTGGGAATGTACTCCTCTGGTTACAACTTATGTTCTCCCTAATAATCACATGAGCATCACTCACTGCTCATCATCTTGTAAAGATTTATTCAGCCGGAAGCATCGTCCAACACCACAGCATATATACCCATATCGCATAGGCTTTGTCGATTCCAATAATTCCTAATCACTATATTTGTAATATGTCGTTGCCTACATTACGCTAAACTCCTTACCTTCAACTAACTTGTATGCACCATCAGCCGGTTGGTATGGATATAAATAACATTGAGACTTGAGCATATCTCTCAAGAAGACAACCATGTTTAACGAATCGCTTTTAGTTATCTGTCCGAAATACAAATAATTATCAATATTTTCAAGCAAAAATTTTTATAACCATTCATATGTATTAGTAGTATTACTAAATTTTATCACGGTCAAGTAATAATGAGTTCGAGAAAATCTACCCGTAGCTAAATAAACCTTGTCAAACTTAACAAATCAACTGGAACACTAGTTTGAATACTTCTTCTCCACGGTTATTCTTTTGTTCTTTCACTTAACCTACCAATACAGATGCAATTGGAAATCAACTCATATGGATAACTTACTGGAATAAACTTTATTTGACTTCATAATTTAAACCAAAAATAATACCAATGGTAACATTTCTACAATAATAGCTGTTTTTTAATATTTTTAAACATGAAATACTTGCACTACCTGTAAGTTAAGCTATTTTCCAACGGCTATTACTACGCATATTACGATGATTTATTAAAATATACATAAAAGAAATCATTCTTGATTGTTATAGCCCCACTTTCTTTAACTCCTATATAATCACCTAAAGTTCCATTTTTCGTGTGTTAAGAATAAAACCAAACATTTTAAAATTACTGTAAATACTTCTCGATCAGTTTCTGCCGCTTTCTTCTTGATTTATCTTTCAGCTTATCAATACCCGAAGTACTATTGTTTTTCCTGGTAACCTCCGGCGCGCGACAATTCCATTGGATTTGGTATCGAGCCAAGGTTACTGTGACTCTCGTGAGAGAATAGTGTGGTGGCATTGGCCTCTAAACACACAATCCTCAAAGCTGAACACGAGACAACTGGGAAAATAGACGTTCAACATTTAACGCAGGAAGAAACCCATCAATGGAGAGGGCGGGAAGAATTCGCTCAGTTGGATCCAATCGGGTAGTATGGCTCAGCCCGGAAGGAGTAGTCATTCTGTATGATTTGTTTTCACTCATTCTAAATATGTTGTCCTATCTCCAGCCTGAATGTGTTCTCTATCATATAGTGGTAATTGTTACGATACGATGAGTCAATGTAGACAATGATGTGACTTCCACGTAAGATCTTATTGATTAGTCAGTTACAATGTGACAAACCTACAATTCAGGGATCAGGTCTATTATTAGAGCAGTACTAATAACGAAGTAGAACAAAATTCTACACATTACTTCCAAGCGTGCAGGAACATAAAGATATAGGGGTAATAGTAATTCACCTTTTCAAAACAACTACAAATTGCAGCGCAGAACTTGCCGGAAGTTTCCATGAGTTATGGTTACTTCGCAGAGCATTCAGATGATTTGATGGGATGTTTGTAGTCTTATATACCACCTACGAGAACCAAACTTGGAATACTGTATCCAAACATCTGGTTCATGACTTATTAAAATACTGCTCACTGATCGTGTTTAGTATATGGGCACAAATTAGTGAAAAGTATTCTAAACTTCCTTCACGTGACGTTTAAATCGCCTAAACTTTTCCCCCTATCTTATCGTGGGACACAAGGTGATTATTTTGGCATTCCATATCTTTAATTAGTGGCCATCAGACAAATCAAGAGCGAGAAAGCAGAAGGACCCGACAACATACCAGCTGAAGCACTGAAATCAGACATCGAATTAACTACAAACATGCTTCACCTTCTATTCAAAAGATTTGGGAGGAGGAACAAGTGCCGATGGGCTAGAAAGAAGGACACCTCATCAAGATTCCAAAGAAAGGAGATCTGAGCAAATGTGAGAACTACAGAGGCATCACACTACTGTCAGTACCAGGGAAAGTCTTTATCAGAGTGCTGCTGAACAGGATGAAAGACGCAGTAGACGCCCAACTTCGAGATCAACAAGCTGGATTCCGTAAGGATCTGTCGTGCACAGGCCAAATTGCGACACTACGGACAATCAGTTGAGTGGAACTCGTCACTGTACATCAACTTCATTGATTATGCAAAGGCATCTGGTAGCGTAGATAAGAGGACGTTATGGGAAATTCTTCGACACTACGGAGTTCCTGAGAAGATTGCCAATATTATCAGGAACTCATACGACGAAATACAGTGCAAGGTCGTGCATGGAGGACAGCTGACAGACGCATTCCAAGTAAGGACAGAAGTCAGACAAGGCTGTTTACTCTCTCCCTTCCTCTTTCTTCTGGTGATCGACTCCATTATGAAGACCTCGACATCTGAGGGAAAACACGGAATACAATGGACAGATCAGAATCAACTGGACGATTTGGAGTTCGCAGATGACCTAGCCCTCCTATCACGTACACACGAACAGATGCAGATGAAGACAGCCAGTGTAGCAGCAGTCTCTGCATCAGTAGGCCTCAACATACACAAGGGGAAAACCAAGGTCCTCAAATACAACACGGAGAACAGCAATCCAATCACTCTTGATGGCGAGACTCTGGAAGATGTAGAATCCTTCACATACCTGGGAAGCATCATCGATCAACAAGGAGGTTCAGATGCAGACGTAAAGGTGAGGATCGGCAAAGCAAGGGTCACATTCCTACAATTGAAGAACATATGGAACTCAAAACACCATTCAACCAATATCAAAGTGAGAATCTTCAATACGAACGTCAAGGCAGTTCTACTGTATGGAGCTGAAACTTGGAGAACGACAACAACCACCATCAAGAAGGTGCAAGTATTTATAAATAGCTGTTTACGCAAGATACTCAGCATCCATTGACCGGATACCATCAGCAACAGCCTTCTGTGGGAGCGAACAAATCAGTTTCCAACTGAAGAGCAAATTAGTAAAAGACGATGGAAATCGATAGGACATACATTGTGAAAATCACCAAACTGCATTACGAGACAAGCACTAACTTGGGATCCTGAAGGGGAGCGGAAAAGAGGAAGGCCAAAGAACACATTACGTCGGAAAATAAAATCAGATATGGAAAGGATAAATAACGACTTGAAGGTGCTGGAAAGGATTGCCCAGGACGAGGTTGGATGGAGAATGCTGGTGAGCGGCCTATGCTCCTTCAAGAGGAGTAACAAGCGTAAGTAAGTAAGTGATACTTTTAATTACGATCCGGGTATAAAATTGTTTCATCTTCTTACTCCTCTCAGGACTAATCTTCGAGGTCATAGCAAGAAGGTTCAGAACCACGACTTAATGTACACGGGGGGTTTCGTTTTTCTCATGGAGTGGTCAACGACTGAAATGCCTTACTCGAAAAGTGATCTCGGTCTTATCAGTGAATATTTTCAAGGATAAGCTAGACCTCCATTGAAAAACAAACTGTAAGGATTAACACAGGTCCACCAACCTACCATTTGTATCACTGAAGACTGAACGTTTGAGATTTGGACAGCGCCTCTGTCAAACCTCGTCAAGGTCATGATCGTGCTGTCGTCCCATGAGCTGGGCTAAGAAATACCTGTTTTGGATCTTCAAGGTTTCATGAAATAAAATATATATGTAGTATTTTAGGGGTCCAAAAAGTCCATTGTTGATCAACTAGAGGACATTGATGATGTAAGTTTTTTGACATTTAGTTATCAGTGATTAGGAAATTTTGGAACTGGAAAGTGATCGGTCTAACAGTATAGACTCAGAAAAACAATTCGTTTTCCGACTTATTTTCTACTCATTCATATTCTTTGGCTTGAGTTTTATAACAGTTTATTACTACTACTGGCCAAGTACAGTAGCTGGAAAGGTGGTGATATCTATGATATTTGCTGTATATCCTTTTTGGTACTCATATTTAAAGCTGAATAACTCTTTAGTGTATATTTCCTGAAGTATATCTTTCGGATTATGTTCACTAGACGCGTAAATAAGACGAGTTAGTGTTGTGGTGTTTCCTAAATTTATTTGTAGATGAAAAACTAAAAAAGCTCCGAGCTGATAAACAGAAATTGGTGCGTTCTGATAGATGTATTTATTTTTAATGCAAGTTAGAAGAGGTGATGGAAAAGGAGACGTTCAACAAGGCCCAACAAATCCTCAAACGTTTTGATCCATTAACATTTGCTTCTATAGCTGTTGAGGTAAGAGAACGTGTATTGTCATTTCTGCTAAGCAGGAAAAGAAGACCCCCAAACCGGTTTTCGGGTCGATGATTAACCTCGTTACTCCACATTCTGAAGTACGCCGTAGAAATAATTCGGGGGATAAACATTTAACTCCAGGATTGTTAGGTAGGAATACTACTTTCAAGCTGAAGCTTGCAGGTTGATTAATTTTGTATCCGATAATTTTTCGTTTCTATATATTTTAAGTTCTCGTACACAAAACTACAAGACAATAAAGGATATGGATTTTTCTCATTTCCGTAACGTTTCAGAACATTTTTTTATGTATTTGCATACGAATTCCGTGAGGCTATAATTTATGGACGACCTTTGGGCAGCGCTAAAATGACCTTAAAATGTCCACCTGTCTACTACGGTTAAGTAAGGGTTATAGAATTATGTGAGGAATTAGGATTAGGATTCACCGTTGTACGTTGGGTTTGGGAATAATATTTAATGTTTTCATCACGAGCTGACAGCTATAATGCCAAAATGGTATTTAAATGAGAACGAGTTTTGCGCCGAAATCCAAAACCTGCTATTTTTAATCTGATTGGTTCGTTCATAAACTAGTCTCACCACGAATTCCTTTACAAGTGTTTATACGCCTAGAGATAACTGCCTATTACCTTTCTTTTGACTTTGGTTGTCTATGTCGAATCGGATACTGGTATTGAGCAGCTGATTGTCATATTTTCAAAGTGTAGTAACAAGTATATAGTGTTAAGAAGTAGTGTTCAACTGGATATAATCCCAAACGATCAAGAGATAACCTCTAAAATGTATGCAACCTGGAATCATTGTTAAGTGCAAAGACTAAAATTCAAAAGACATTAACGGATAAAGCAATTATGGTTTAAAATGGTGACAGTATTGTTTTGTTTTTGTCTGTCTTTGTCGGAAATGTAATTTTTTTGTTTAACTGTCCAGTTTCATATTTGACCAAGAAATCTACCTATAAGGTTTTTAGAATGGTTGTTGACAAAGGTTCATTCTGATCTTTGACACTAGATACTGCTCATGGCCTAGTACAGATGTGGAATTTTATATAAAAGGTTAAGTATACTTTACATCAGTTTAAGTAACATAGTTTGACGAAATCCGGGCAAAAATTCAGAAAGCTCGGTTGCCTTTCGGAGGCTTGTGTGACTTGTTGCGTAGGTAAGATGTATGTCCCCAATCAAAAAAGATGAGTTAACTACCAAGCAGTTTGCTCCGTTCTACTTTACGGGTGTGAAACATAGCCATTAAGACAAGGGGATATTCATAGATTACTCGTATTCGGTCGTAAGTGTCTTCAAAGCACCGTTCGTGTATTTTGGAATCAATGCTGAGGTTAGACATAGCATACTATGTAGTGAATTTCCATCAACAAAGGTGTTTGAGAGATGTGTTACGTATCCACAACCATAACTTACCTCAACGAGCAATGTTGTCCGATTTAGTAGTCTGGGAGGAATCTAAAAGTAGCCAGACCGAGACGTACCACCATTTCGTGAAGTGGTTGGCAACTGGACTGAGCCACGGTAACACGTGCAAACTGCCTGAACGTGAACATTTTGGTGGAGTTTCGTTCTCTGAGCTGGGTGGTTTGGTCGTGGAGCATTCATCGTTCTTCTGAACGAAATCATCAGCACAAACTTCAGATAGAAGTGAAGTGTTCGAATTTCTCCATGTGCGTTTCACAGCTTGTTCTGTGCACCTCGATGTTGATTGGTTCCTATTGACCTTAAATTCATCATTCTTTACTTCTTTGTTTTGGTTGTGTCTCCCATTGGTTTGATTTTTGTCCCTATATTTGTGCATGATTTTCCTGATTGGTTGATGAATTGGTTGATTCCAATATGTTTGTTGATTGCTGATTGACCTGAGTGCTAGGCTTCGAAAAATCCTCTGGTGTTTTTAGAGTTTCCTCTGTCTAAGATTTCTACATTTTTTCAGTCGAATGAGTGTCCGTAGTTGTCCACGTTTATTGATATAAGTGAAGAGATATCATGGCGTTTGACTGCTAATTGGTGTTCATGTAGGTGAAGGTGAAGGGGGCGTCCGCTTCGTCCGATGTAGTGTTTTTCGCAGTTAGCACAATTTATTTTGTAGATGATGTTTGATTTGTTTTCCTTTGTTATTTCATCCTTTGGTTTGCATAGGATTGATTGTAGTGGCTTTGTCGGTTTGTGTGCCACACCTATCCCGAAGGTTTTCAGCAGTCTTGTTGCGGTTTCTGACATTCCTTGTATGTATGGTAGGGTGATCCTTTTGTTGATTTTTGTGCTTGACTTGGGTTCTGATGCTGCGTGCGGTTGGTGTTTTTTTGATGAAGTTGATTGGGTAGCCGTTCTTTTGAAATACGTCTTTCAGGTATTTCTCTTCATTTTTTCGTGCTGCCAGTGTGCTGCAGTGTGTCTTCACCCTCTTGAACAAAGTGTGTACGCAGTTGATTTTGTGAGCTCTTGGGTTGTTGCTGTTGTAGTTGAGAATTTGATCTGTATGGGTCGGTTTCTTATATACTTGAGTTTCCAGTTTTCCTGTGTCGGTTCTAGTGATCAATATATCCAAGAATGCTAGTTTGTTGTTTGACTCCTGTTCCATTGTGAACTTGATGTCATTGAAAACGTTGGTCAGTTTGTAAGTGTTTTCCAGTTCATTCTTTTTGACGATGACGAAGGTGTCGTCTACATAGCGAATCCAAATTTTTGGCTTGATCGCTGGTAATATAGTGGCTTCTAGTCTTTGCATCACTGTCTCTGCGATCAGTCCTGATATTGGTGATCCCATTGGTGTCCCTTTCGTTTGTTCGTAGATTTTGTTGTTGAATTGAAAATATGTTGTTAGGCATAAATCGATGAGTTCCAGTAGACTTTGAATTTGAAGCTTCGTGTATTTAGTGAGATTTGTGTCGTTGTTGAGCAGGAGGGATATAGTTTCTTTTGCTAACTTTGGTTCAATTGAGGTGAATAGTGCTGTTACGTCGAAGGATATCATGAGTTCGTCGTTGTTGATTTGAATATCCTTAATTCGGTCTAGGAATTGTGTTGGGGATTTGATGGAGTGGTTGGTTGAACCTACTAGATGTCTTAGTATTCGTGAAATTTCTTTTGACAAGTTGTACGTTGGCGTTCCGGGGAGTGCTACAATTGGACGTAGTAGGATGTTTGGTTTGTGTATTTTGGGTCTGCCGTAGAATCGGGGGAGTACTGGTCCACTGGATTTCATTCTCCATTGGTATTGTTTTGTTATTTCTCCTGCTTTGACTAGCTTGTTTAAAGTCTTTGAGATTTGGTTGTCTAATTTTTTTTACGGGATTTGTATCCATCAGTCTGTGGCACCACAGTAGTGGTGCGTCATGGACAAAGAAGAATATGTCAACAAAGCCGAAGAACTACTTGAAGATAAGAGCACATACAAACTCCACCAAAATCATCCACCTGAGCTATATATCTTCGCCACTATCTCAATATCGGGGTCAGCTTGGTTATGGTAACCATGGTTTGGAGATTTTTTGTGATATGTCTACTGATTTCTCTCGATGGTACAGATGCATTCTCCTTGTCATCTATTAGATTCTTTGTCTCGAACTCGTACACGTTTTTTTCATTTTCTATTCCTAGCCTTCTACTACTACCACTACTTTGGGACTTGTGTTAAAATAACTATCTGGACGTGTTAATGTAGTATGCCAACTTAATCCGATGCACACATGTCAGATTCTACACTCCGTATAACTAACTGACTAACTGATAATATTTTCGTCTTTAGCATGATATAATTTTATTGTTTCCGTTTGACAGAAGTGTAATTTCATTTTATTTAGCCCTAATTGATCAAGGATTTTCGCACCACATATTTAGATAGATAGTTCTTGCAGACAAAATTGCTAGTCAGCGTAACACCCCATTTTGGTTGGATAAACAGTGAGACTTTTCATCTGTCCTATTTATGACTGTTGTCTATCAATCATTACGAGTCATTATAGTTGGTTTACCAATTTCATCCCAATACACTCGGGATTGAGTCATACTGCTATTGTGAGATATAGCAATCCTACTCCAATTCCTAAACGAAATTAGCACTTGAAATCTACTAACGGAAAATCAAATGCTATAGCTAACTTGGGCTGATGCATTTTTGTACCAGGCTCTATATTGATTGTGAATGACTGAACTGTCAACGCATGGTTTCGAAATTATCAATTTTGTAAACTAAGGCTAGTCGAATCAACGTTCAGTATCTGGGCCTCATGATGAAAAATAATTCTTGAAAGTCCAGTAAATAATTGTATAAAATACTTGTGGTCACATAGGATAATTGATAGAGTTAGTTTGTACTTCCCATTTAGATCAATTTTAAGATAGAATTTGACGAATTTCGGTCGGGTCAAATCAACAATCATTGAATTGATAATGTAATCCCGTAAATTCAGATCCCCATCTACAATACATTTTGAACTGTATTTAGTTCGAGTTAGTGACATATATATTTCAATTTTAATAATTTCTGTCCTTGATTTCATTGACTGGATCCATAGTGGTTTTCATTCATTCAATATAATCAGTTTAATGATCAATTTTTATCTCCATTCCTATTGTTGTTGTTATGGACTGAAGTAAAATGGTTGGACTGATTCCGTTATACGGAACAAGATCTATGCAAACTGGGTATAATCGACGATTTTTGTTTATTTGTTTATTTAAGCACATAACATGGGTACCAAGGAGGCACTGAAATATATACGTGCCACACAAATAATTGAGTTTGTGTGCGGTCTGGGATACTCTTCAGCTGCTCAAACCTAATCAGGATGGAAGTCTAATACACAACACTTCTGTGATGGTTCACCTCTTCGTGATGAAATAGAGAAAAGAGAAGTCTTGAGAGGAAGACGCTATGATGAAGGTTCCAAGAAAATGGGGAATAAAACTACGTTTGTATTAATCAGTAATCATCACTGAACACAAATCATAGTAAAAATACATTAATAGTTCATGAAGTAGCATAGTGGAAATGTATTAAAAGTTGACCTTAAATTCACCTTAAATCGATATTGATTTACCGATTTTACATTCCAACAATTATAGAGTATGTAATGAAATAACATGCTTATATTACAAACTATTAATACAAAATAATCAGATACAATAAACGAGATTGTATATAATTCATTGCAATTCAATGACTTTTTTTGAATAGGTTCAAGTTTAACTGCACAGTCGAGTACCCCTATGGTCGGGAGTAATCAAACATTGTATTCTAAAAAACCGCGGTTATTACGACCGCTTTTACCTAGAGAACGTTCAATTATTGATAAAGTTTTAGATGCATTAGTTGGTGATGGTCCCGATAAACGATTTGCACTAATTTGTAATGAATGTTCATCACACAATGGAATGGCACTACAGGAAGAATTTGAATATTTAGGTTAGTTTATTAACAATTCAAATAATATAGTTTTTTTTATGAAGTGTTGAAAACCATTTTGTTCTCTATCAAATACTGTTAATTTTTTGACATTTCTTCGATCTGGTACTGTTAAGATAGAATAATTGTAAAGCTAGAGATGATGAATAACCAGCTGAACTTATGCTTGATTATTAAAGGAAACCAATGTAATTTTATGTGGAAGTAGGAACTAATTTTAAAAAATAGAGAACACGCTTGCCTATCTATAAAATGTAATTAAATAAACCCAAAGTAACCAAAGATCAGCTTTTCACCAATTATTTCGAATCCCAATTCATGTAAGTAACGATTTAGATTGTACTACCATCTTAAAACATGTAGTATTACCTGATTTAATCATACGAAGGTAGCGTAAATCACAAACTAATCAACATTGAAAACCTGTAAAATAATGTTTTATCTCAAAATTAAGGCACCTCATTATGGACGTACCATTTGGCCGGAGATGGAAAATAAGATCTCTCATCGTGCACATTACATTTAAACTACCAATACATTATAGAATGTTCCGTATTTCTAAATTAACTGAGTTCAGAATATTGCACAATCATCATTCAATCCTACTGTTGATAACTGTTTCATTATGGACATAGTTATACTCTACTAGTGTTATAACGTGAAAACTGCAGATTAAGGGGTAACGAATTATTGATCGGACCAAAGACGCGCAAACACGTAGAACAGCCTAGGGTTCTGATTGGCCCCGCTCCCCTGTCTAGCTCAGCCAGTTGAGTCCAGAACGCAAGTCACAGCCTCTGAGTTATGAATCATTATATTTCAAACATACTCTGTTTATATATCAATCAAGCAGACCACAACGTACCATAAAATAGGAAATAACATTGTACAATATTGGCCAACAGGAAAATGACACGTTAAGTAAATATTGACCAATAAGATGATACCATTTCATGTCCAAGGATAGCATTAGGCTTAACAGGATAGTTTTTGGGATATTTTCCTGAATATCCCAACAACTAGTCGCGGTTTCCTACTAGGAATCCTTAATTTACTTTCAAAGTCACTACCAAGAGAATGATTATTATTAGAATGATAAAGCGGTGTAGATCACATGATTTAAAGACAGTTTACATCATGGATTGGCTTTGACTGTGTTTAGGGTAGGGATAAGAATATCTACTGGATTCATAGATGAAAATAACCGAAACAGTTTGCAAACCTACATTCCATTGGTCAAAAGTCGATGGCTTCAACCACTGAACTAGTCCATGTTATATATTAATTAGTAAACATTTAAATTCAACCTATTATCAATCATTGAGTAAAAGAACAATGTCAATTTGTAAATATCATTAGCACCACTATTGACAACTAACTTGGAACTTCATTTCAAACGTAAAAGATATTAGTAGTCATTGTGGGGAAATTTCATTATATCACTTTACTATGAAGTTTACGCTGTTGATGAATGATGTTGTTTATTAATACAATCAATGTGATGTGTGCTGCGTATACGGGCAGATATAAGTAGTAGGTGTCGAGATTTAGAAGTAGGATTCTTACATATAGAAGAGGAAAATAGAAAAAAAGCAAATGCAGTTTAAGTAGTAAAAGGAAAACAGTTACGCAGCCATGTATGTGATGCCCACCCTGAGGCAGCATGGAATGATATCCGAAAAGCTGTGGAAACAGCAGTGATATCTGCTAGTAAGGTAAACCAGAAGGTTAGGGAGCAACACTGGATCTCAGCAGCATCTATCTCACTGATAGATGCTCGGAAATCATTCCACCTGGCTCTGAACATAATGAAGAGCGGAGTCAGCTTAAGCGCAAGCTGACAAGAAGTCTACGCAATGATCGCGAACAGTGGTGGGTAGCGAAAGCAAGAGAGATGGAAAAGGCAGCGGCAATAGGTAATAGCAGACAATTGTTCAGACTCGTTAAGGAAACCGGAATTAGGAAACCGACCGTTAGCGAAACAATCTCAGAGAAAGATGGACATATTATTCATTCTCAATCCAGGAGATTGGATCGATGGGCAGAACACTTTAGGGATCAGTTCAACTGGCCTTCAGCCACACTTCGGTTTCCCACGATCTCCAGTCAACCTGAATGGCAAGTTAATGTAGGTCCTCCGTCTCTTTACGAAGTTGAAAAAGCCATAGGAAATCTGAAACGAGGGAGAGCAGCAGGCCCTGACAGGTTTACTCCTGAGATTTTTAAGGATGGTGGTCCAGTATTAGCAATGAGATTAACTGAGGTCTTAGGTAGAATTTGGGAACTGGACGTAATCCCATCTGACTGGTCTCAATCACTGATTGTGCCAGTTTTAAGAAAGGACAAAAGTCCTCTTGTGACAATCACAGAGGAATCAGTTTGACTAATATAGTGTCTAAAATATTAGCTTCAATAATACTTCGACGCCTAACAAAGCTCGTGAAGAGCAGACTAGAGAAAACCAGGCTGGTTTTCGACCTGGACGTGGTTGTATAGATCAGATATTCACACTACGTCAGGTTCTAGAACACAGACACACATTCAGACGCCCCACAATGGTAGTATTTCTCGACCTTAAGGCGGCATTCGACTCGATTGATCGTGAGGTTCTATGGCAGTGTTTGTCACTGAAAGGAGTACCAAAGAAGTACATTAACCTTATAAAGGCTCTCTACTCGAACACAACTGGTCGAGTGAGAGCTTATGGCGAACTGTCATCAGAATTGATTACCTCAAGTGGTGTTCGTCAGGGCTGTCCACTCTCCCCATTCTTGTTCAACTTTGTCATTGACGTACTTTTAGAGATAACACTCTCCTCATCTAAATTTACAGGGGTTGAACTTCTACCGGGAGGTTCACTTGTTGACTTAGAATATGCTGATGATATATTTGGTGAAGACGCTGACAAAATGCAGAGTCTTCTGACCACTCTAAGCAACAATGCAAGCATGTTCGGGATGCGATTCTCCCCTCGAAATGCAAAATGTTGCTTCAGGATTGGGTTACATCGACACCCGAACTAATGATAGGGAGTGAAGTAGTTGAGTGTGTCGACCGCTTCACTTATCTTGGAAGTCTCATCAGCCCTTGTGGTTTGGTGTGTGACGAAATCTCAGCACGGATACAGAAGGCTCGACTAGCTTTTGCCAACTTGCGTCATTTATGGCGTAGGCGAGATATCCGTCTATCAACCAAAGGACGTTTTACTGCGCAGCAGTTCGTTCCGTCCTACTTTATGGCAGTGAAACATGGCCGGTAAGAGTAGAGGATATTCGTAGGTTACTAGTATTTGATCATAGGTGTCTTCGAAACATTGCTCGTATATCATGGGACCATCGAGTAAGTAACACAGTTGTTAGGAAACGGGTACTAGGTAAGGATGGCAAATCAATTGATGAAGTAGTGAAACTTCATCAGTTGAGATGGCTGGGACACGTGTTACGTATGCCCAACGACCGACTGCCTCGACGTGCGATGTTCAGTGGTATAGGAGTAGGTTGGAAGAAAGCTAGGGGCGGCCAGACCAAAACATGGCACAAGTCCATGAAGTCACTGACAAGTGAACTGAGTCATGTTGGTAGGTGTAGACTACCTGGTTGGGGACCGCGAGATGATAGCAACCGATGGTTAGAGACCCTGAATGACATGGCTCAGGTGCATACACTCTTTGTGTTCTCCCAAATTTTGCTCTCCTTATTCCTCCTTGTCTCTTTTTCCCTCAAATTTATTTCACTGTATTATACTCTTTAAATAACATCTCCAAACACTAATCTTCCCGATTACTGCTTATACTCTTATTACCTCTACTACTACGGGATTTGAATCGACCACTGCATCTGTGTGCTAATGTGGTTTGGCAACTCGAACTGATGTACGTACGTACGAAGTTCTACGTTGTTACTGACTGACTGACAACCCAAAAGATACACCACCGTTCTAATTCCCTTTTTATGGTATAAATCTCCAATTCCATCTAAAAATCTTATAATATCAGAGTCCAGTTCATAAAATATGCACTTTTGTGTTGATTACCTAAAAAAGTACTATGTAACTAACTGAATTCTAGGTATTTTCCGACTAAATTATGTCCTTACATCTTAAGGCCACTATTATTTCGTTATTCACAATTTTTTTAATATATACTTATTTATGCTTTACAATGATCTTTTTTTATTTATTTTCATCCCTTCCCCTTTTCCATACTGTCACATTTCGACTACACAACTGCCTATTCTTAGCATTTCGATGTTGTTATTGTAATCATTTTAATCCAGCACGTAGTACACGATTGAAGACAGGATTATCAACAGAAAATATAGAGAATACAAATGATTTGTTAAATAATTCAAAAACAACACCTTCTTTACTATCAACTAAATCAAATCTTAAAAGAATGAATGAAGCAATTCAAAGAAGTTCAAAAACTAATTTATATAGTCATGATAGTGATGATAATGATAGTGTTCTTGGTAATAATGAAACTGTGGTTTGTGATTCTCATGAAATCTCAATTAATACATTTAATGAACAATTGAATTTAAAAGATAGCGCTGATGTGGATAAGTTTAGAGAATCCATGGAATAAACCATCGGGTTCAGTAAAAGAGATCTATGGATCATACATGACTGCAATGCGTCTTTTTCTTCTTATATGTAAACATAATTCTTTATTTGGAGAAAAAAAAAACTATATTCCAGTTTATTTTTGTTTATCATCCAAAAAAAAATCTTGATTTTCAGTTCATAAATCATTTAATTGTTTGTTAGGCCTATTCATGTTTTACTTAGTCGAGTATGTATATACATACACTGTATATCTTTCTATGTTTACTTGTTTATTGACTGTAATCTGGAGAGTTTCCTGTTTCCTTCCTGTTCTCCACCTTTTTTTTTTAAAAAAAAAACATATACCTCCCTGAGTATTATCTTTGTATTTTTATATGAATTGTGAAGATGCCAATTGTTGAACTTCGAGTGGATATATATCTCTTTTTTTGTTTGCTTTTTAGTGCTGTATGTGTATGTAGACAGATTACTTGCTCTTTTTTCAACCAATCTTTCTCATATCAATATATGTTAACCAAATGTTTTCAAAGTATTGCACTAAATGCAATTTGTAATAATGATATATGGTTACATACATATTTGGCAACAATTGTAAATAACACAAGTTCGAGATTGAGACAATCTGATAATCGAAACTAGAAGTTGGTGACTTAAAGTTTCGAAGGAGTTACGGACTAATAAGATGTTAAGAATACAGGAAAAGTCTCAAAAAAAAAAAAAAAAAGAAAACCGATTTTAAACAATGACAGCAAGAAAAGTATAGTATCGTGATGAGCCAGTCAGAGTTTACAGTGTAACTTTTGAGTTTCTAAGCAAAATTCAAATATCACGTATAATGAGTGGTAGAAGTACTTTTGTATATCGCTCAAAATGGTAGAGAAAAATTACTGTTTGCTACCATAGGCTAAAAATGATAATATTAAGCGTATCGAGTACTCAGTTCTGTCTATTGATTGTACGTGAGTGGTTATCCCACTGATCGGCGTTTTTCAACAAGGTTATTTCCTACGGTATAAGGTCGGTAATCGCATCTCGAATCATTCAACTTTATTTGGGATAGGGATAGATGATAACCATAGAAGGACTCGAGGCAGCGTACATTTATTCGGCACTAACCCTTAATCTTGAAATAAACCTTAGCTTGGTGGTGCTATATCTCTTGAACGAACTAATAAAGTGACGTTTTATTTTTGTGCACGAAATTCATTCATATGGTTAAAGTACATTATTGCGTTGTAGGTGGTGTTAGTTCGTGATGAAAACACTAACTCTGGTCCTTACTCGAAATACCTAACCCTAAGAACAATCCAGGGAATTAAAAAGCTTATTTGAGTCTTTATCAGGGTTTGAGAAGACGAAAAATCGATATCCACATGGATGAATTCTTACCGTTCCTTCAGTTTTAGAAGCAGAGTAACTTATCAAAGAACAGTAGATTCATCATATAAAATCTGTCTACACATTAACATCACTTCTTTTTTATGATCTATCAGTCTACAAAATCTATTTTCAGATTGGTTATGAAAACTGGCTGAGAGATTATCGCGGCTGCGTTAATCTCGTTCATATATTATACTCATATTATAGAAGTAATCGAATAATATCTCACTTGCGATTTAGTATAAGATTAAAAACAATTCAGTGAATGCATTTGTTTCACTGTAACTAATTTTTAGTCATATCGCTTAAGATATTCAGTCATTGATTAAGATTATATGCAAAGATGGATAGTAGCTAGCATTGGGATCCAGGACGCACGTTTTGTTCTATTTGGGACTCGTCAGGTGGGTGTACCTCCACCCCAAAATTGATGTCCACTATTGGGCTCGAACTCAGTGCCTTTCGCCCCATCTTTGCTTATAATGCTTGTGAATTAAGGCAGTATCGAGGCAATACACACAGTAAGCACATATGTCAATAAGACACTGATGAATTGCAAACCTAAACAACAATGGGAAGATTCAAGTAAACAATACCAAGTGAAGTGATTATGTTATTTCACTGACTCATTACTAAGATGTATAAATTTTCGTGTTAGGTACATATCAACAGCTTGTTATGTCCTATCCTGATACTGTGGTGACTCAGATTGCTGACCTATCCATTCATTGTTAAAAGAATAAGACACACTTACATATAATTTCATTAGATTTTTTTCCATAGGTATTGTTCTTGTTTTGGTAAAATGAGTAATTGTGATAGTGTTCGTTATTTTCTGTTTATTCATGTAATCAGTTCAAAACCTTTACCTATCTATGTACACTTATAGATGTAAACGAATTCTTGTGTATCTATGTTTGACAATCCTACTACATTAAATGTATGCATTGTATATTATTCAGAACATTGAGCATACAAATGATGATTAATTCCATATAATTCTTTCGCACATATGTTCGTTTATTCATAAAATAAATGGACTTACTGGTCATGTTCACTAAGTTCGTTTTGAAGACTCGTATCTGTGACATTTTATTAACTGCTACTACTTCATGTTGTGACTTGTCTATTATTATACTCGTGACAATTTCAGTAGCCATGGTGTCCATATCAATTGTTTATACGATGTTGATTTCGTCAGTATAATTATTGCATCGAATACTGACTATTGTCGCGATGCCTAGCTTACTACTTCACTATACTATCGGCGAGAATCATGCGAAATTTTGATATTCATCTTGATCGGCGACCAAAGTAATTGATTTCCGAAAAAGAAGTCACAGGTTCAACCTCCGCGCAAGGCTAGTGCAGTTTAAGAAGCATAGAAGTACTGTAGTGTGGATAGATATAAGTAGTATGTAGCAAGAATAGGAAGTGGAATATTTACTAGCAGAAGGTCAAAATGAAAAGAAAAGAAGGCAATCAGGGAGAAATCGTAATAACAAAACGATTAAGAGAATGGTGGAATATGTAAAGGACAATTGAAGGTTGATATGTAGATGATGTATTTAATGTCTAATTCTTATAACCTACAAAGGTACTGGGTTATTTTGCTTAAAACAATAAATTGGTTCACTCCAACAATTCATCACTCACTGCATTATCAGCTCCCATATGAATTGTGACTCAAAACTAAATACATACACTTGTAATTTGTATAAATATCAAACAAATATTTGTACCGAAATACATGAGTTGTGATAGACACTATTTAGATGATCACTCTTCCTAATCTCACCAACTAGAAGATATTTATAGTCGTTAGATATTAGAATATCGACTGGAGAGCTGTAAAACTACCTTCTAATACAAATTTAAATTAAACTTGGAATTGAAAACAAAAAGTAAATGTATTCGATTTCTGGAGATGGTGATCATGAAACTATGTTACAATGTAAGATGTAAAACAAACTCAGATACAGTGTGTGCGTATTTGTGAATATCAATAGTCATATCTGTCAGCCATCATATGAGAAAAGTATTGTCTTTGTACAGATAAAGAACAACTTCGTTTAAAAGTTTTTGTTTTGTTTGGGTTACTGTTATATTCTAATGAAGATTTTTTGTGGAGCCTTTTATTTCGTCGTCATTAGATCGGACGATGTTTGTTGATGGGCTCTCCACTTTAGTGGCATGGGGTCTGATTCCCATTTGATCGTATGAATGATTGTTATTGAAATATATATGTTACCTATCCTCCTATATAATCATCGACTTAAATCGCGTTAGTCAATAACGGAATTAAATAAGTCAAATAACGAGAATGGACTTCTGAATACATATATTTTGTATATGAAGCAAATGGAACAAAGAGAAGAGAAACGACGCGCAGTGGAGATGGCAGGTAAGCCAACTCCCCTTCAGTCAAGCGTAAAGCAATATTTATAGGCACACAAAAATAAATTACAGACATGTGATGAGTAATGGGATAAGAAGTGCACACCCACCTACGCGCTCATACAAACACAGTCAAGATTGATAATAAAATAATTAACAAGGTCAAAATATGACTAAAGTGGAATGAGTAGATTGGCCTGTCCGAAAGCCAGAATAAGGTATATGGGCTTAACATAATAACCGACACTACAGATTAAATTACGGGTAACATCTGAGAGCCACTAATGGACTGATATTATACATATTATTCTTATTGTATAACCGTTCGGTAACTGGATTACGTATATCTATATTCCTTTTATTATGAGCTTCATTTTGACCTATAGATTATTATTGTACTATTGACTGTTCTTAAGTTATATTCAGTTTATCGATTACAGTCTCCCACATTCACAACTACTTTTTGGCTTGATCGTGTATAAATGTTATTTCCTATTTTATGTCGTGATGTGATCTTTTTGGCTGGTATATAAACCAAGTATGTTTGAAATATATGATTAACATAGTGGGAGCTGTTATTGGTGTTCTGGACTCAACTGGAAGGGCTAGGATAATAAAATGCCAATAAGGACACTAGGCTGCTCATACTGGTCGAATGTCGTTGGTTTAGCACAGTACTAAGATTGATTAATTCATATTCCGATTGACGGATAAGTCAGGTGATAATAAGTCGGCCTTAAAATGCACAACAGTTACAAAATATACAGGATCAAAACATCGAGATTAACTCAGTCAGTCAGTCAGTCAGTGAAAACGTAGGACTTCGTACGTATGTACATCAGTTGGCATACCACATCAACACAGAGATGCAGTTGTCGATTCAAATCCCATAGTGGTAGAGGTAGTAAAAGTATAAGCAGTAATCGGAAAAATTAGGGTTTGAAGGTGTTATTCAAGGAGTGAAATAAATTTGGAAAGAGAAAAAAGAAAGGGACATGAAGAATTCAGAAGATTAGGATTTGTGAGGACACAAACAGTGGATACACCTGCGCGATTGCAAACGATTTTGAGCCATGTGATTCAGGGTCTCTAACCATCAGTTGACTAGTCGAGATTAACTAGTCAACATTCAAATAGTAAAAGCAAACTAAATATCTTATGTAAATGAAATGAATCTATTTCTTACTTAAGGGAAATAATTATAGTGTAATCTTGTAAAGAAAGATATAATCAATTTATTAA